GATGATGCATCTTACTTCAAAGATCTTATGGACGAATCTTGTTGGACTCCCCTCCACGTTTCTTATGCATATGCTAATGAAAATACAAAGGTGATTAATTTTGCAATACCCATCATTAATTGAATTTTTGGAAATTTATTTCATGATTTTCATCGATCTAAGAATATATTTCTTCAAAGACATTATCGGAGAAGTTACTACTGAACTATAACGATAGGGTAGTAGAGAAGAATGATTGTCGTGAATTGGAGGTGGCAAGCTTGTCATGTGGATTGGTTGGAGGGGAAGGTGTTGTTCCCTATTTACTAGAATCATCCAAAATTATATTATCACCCTTGTTGGAAGGAAATAAAGAAAAATTATTCTATAAATTCATGCTATTCTTGCAAGGATTGATTGTGTCGATCCCTATAGTTCATATCCACGATGTTTGTCAAGCACACATTTTCTGTATGTAAAAATCCACCATGTTTGGTCGTTTCTTGTGTGCTTCTGATTATCCAGTGGTTTCGGAGATTTCCAATATTTACATGACCAAATATGTTGGTCGCCCCATTTTCCAGTAAGTAATAACTATAAGACTTGGGATTTCAGTAACCATCCAAACTTTAATATATATAAGGTGATTGATCATTATAGAATTTCCTCTATGTTTGTTGATTTATATAGAGTGGGGGATGAGAAGATCTCAAAGAAAGTGGTGTGTAGGTCGTCAAAGCTTCAAGACTTCGGATTTGAGTACAAGTACAAAAATGTGGAAATGATAATAGATAAGACTTTGAAGTATGCAACCAAGATGGGAATAGAAATATAATTCTAAAGTTTGTTTGTTTGTTTGTTTTGTACAATGATTTTCTCTACTTATGTTATGGTGGTTTTATTTGGATTTAGATTTCTAGTGTAAAGTGAAGACTGAAGCAAAAAGTCATAAAACAGTGGTGTTATGGTTCGAAGATCTTCTTCATATGTAGATGAAAACAACTATTATAGAGTTATTCAGGTAATTATCAAACTTAATTTCCTAGACGATGATACTTGAGTTTTTATGTTCAGATGTATATAACATTAACTAAAAAAATCAAAGTAGATTGGTTCAAAACAATGCCAATCGATGCCACTTGTTATTTCTTCTGCGGCTTTGCTAGCTGCTCTCACCTTTCGACTTGTAGACCTTGAAGTATATGTATTTTGCTGCAAAATGCAATCTCTGGAGTAAGTGGATTGAGGGTGTTTGTGCGTCGGAGGAACATTTCTTCACTCACGATGATATGCAAGAAACTCTTGAATAGCATATTATTTTTTTGAAATAAAAATAGTATATTAGGCCAAATCCATATGTTACAAAATTGATTTTATCTCGATCAAAAAATTTCTCACTGCGATAGACCATCGCAAGCGCTTAGACTTTAATCATGAATTCTCCCATCGTTTATCTTTTTTCTTCATATCCCTCAATTGTTCTTAAATACTCTGGGAGTGGCACATCTTCCTCGGAGATAGATGATTCTCAAGGATTAACCAACACTCCGTCACAGTTTATTGATTCATAACCGAGGAGAATTTTTGGCCCAATTGTCGCCTGATTCCAATCCAAGAACTGTCAAGTTCTTTTTGCATCCAAATCTCGTAATTGCGATTTGCTGATCCATCAGAATTGAAATCGGGTGAAATATAATAAACTGCTTGTTGTTGACTAAATCTAAGAGACGGTGAATTTGGAGAAGATTCTCTATTTGGGCTTTCCAAAACAAATAAGTTCTAGAGTCTTCAAGTGGTATATGAATCCACTGTCCTACGTACTTTGCATTGGCGCATATCATGAATGATTAAAGTTTCTGATAATGACAATCCGGAAGATTGGGTGTTCACCATCTTTGCAACTTTTTGGAAGCAAACGAGAAAATCTTAGCAACTCGAGAAAAAAATCACTCATCAACTGATACCATGTGGGACAAATTAATTTTGAGTCTATTAATTGCAATTGTTTCAATTGTATTAAGCCAGGATTAATGATTCTGATGAGGGGTAACTCAAGACTAACAATATGCACAAATACCAAAGAACCAACCCATATCTAGGACCTACCCCTCCTCTATTTATAGTCTGGTTACTAGACCAAGCTGACCCAAATCCAGAGGCCCAAGTTCAAGAGTCTGATGCAACACCTTGAGTTTCTTGTGGGTAGGGTGAAACTTCAAGAACAAGTTGACCATCAAGAAGGTAATGAAGTGCACTAACCCGCCAATAGTGACTAAGGCTCCTGCGGAAGATGATGTAGAAGACGAAGAGAATAGGAAAAAACGTACACCATGGTGATGACCTCCCCTTATTAGACGCATGCATGGAAGCGAAGACGTGTAACATACTATCCCCGTGGGTGTGAATCCGAACCTAAATGAAGATGGTGGTGGCTACAACACCTTTAATCTTAACTTTGACTATTTTCAACTTGACCACTCATCTAAACAACTGCGGCCCTTAACACATTATGTGATATTGCCCGCCCTGACTGGCTACTATGGAAGCATGCTCGAGCAAGCAGGTCATCCTTTTAGTACTTTTGTTGCTGAGTGGAATCATTTGGTTGAGCAGAGCCCACTTAATCTTACCAATGTGGTGTATGGTTTATCTTTGCATCGGATCATTGTTGTCCACACTCAAATAGCTAGGCTTGGGGAGCGCGTCCCCCAAGCTTCAAGCTCTAGTATTTCTCTGGCCCAGTATAGGAACGCTTTGAGAGCCTAAAGATGGAGGGATGGCTTGTTGGACCAAGTGGGACCCTAAAAGAAGAATTTGGACTCTCGGGAAGAGGAGATGAAGCAGCTAGTATCAGACATAACTGTCGCAAAAGGTGGCAACCTATCTGACTCTGAAGGTTGCACATACTTTGCTGGGTGTCGAACACATCGGGTGTACAAGCTATTATGAGAAATTAAACGAGAGGTACCAACAGTTGGATGATAAGTGTCAGCATGCAATTGAAGGCTAATCATGGTTCGTGCTATAAATCGTTGAATCAAGATCATGCTCTTTAGAAAGCAAGCCATGTCGATCATTCTAAGACCGCCTCCAAAGTGTGGGATGAAATGAAGCAAGTTTGCTTCTTCGGAGGAATGTACAATCTGGCTCATCCTGATCTGAGGAAAGTTCTCGTGCCACAGAGCATTGATGAATGAGCTGAGGAGAGTACAGAATACCTAGCTCTATTTTCGAGATCGGCGCCTCTGTGATGACATATGGACCTTCCCATTTGGATGATAGCTTTCCACATGTTTGATCTTTGCTTGTTGTTTATGCATTGTGCATAACCAGATCGTCCAGTTTCAATTTTTCGTTTACTACTTTGTGGTCGTAGCTAACCGAGTTGTTCTTATGAGATGCATTAGATAATGAAAAACAGTTGATAGTTAGAAAGTTGTTGTGATAAGAAAATTGGTTAGTAGTTACTAAGTTGTAGTATAAACCTATAAATAGACATTATAATCCTTATGATAATTGATTCAATCAAATAGATTTTTATAGCATTCAGAGTTCTGCGCTTGAATGCTAAACCATTTGTCCTGCTTATTCTCGCATTCATCAGCTCCAACAAAAGGGTTGTATCATTTTATGCCTCATTATAATTAGCTACCCGTACGTGTGGATGGCTATACTAACTTGCATGGCGCCATCGCATTCAGTCTGAAGGCTAATATGAAGAGAAAAAAGTTTGTCGGCGTGCGATATGTCCATAAGACTTTCAAGACCAGGTCTTCCCACACTCTTGGATTCTTCCCCACTTTTCCTTTTGAGGATCGCGGTAATTGTTATGTTAGTGACCTTCACTTGCTCATTCGCTTAAGGGAGGTAAACTAGGGCGAAGCTCAACTTGATGTTGTTGTTTTCATAGAAACTACGCAACTTCTTCCTAAGACATGGGTCCCGTTGTCCATTATGATCTTCAAGGAAACACTAAATCTACAAACTATATTGTGGAAAACGAACTGTACGACACTATCTTCTGTGATGAAGCTAGCACACCAGTTTTGGCTCGGCTCACTTAGTGAAATAATCAACCGTGATGAATAATTATTTCCTTTCCCTTGAGGCGGATGGGAATGCAGGGAAACTATTTGTAAGCCCCAACGTGCTACTAGAGTAACAATCGAAGTGAGACTAGTTGAGGGGAGTATTTGGATGTTTGTGTGCCGTTGACATTCATCGTAGACGTTGGTAATTTTGCGTAGGTCGTTGGGAAGATCGGTCAATATATAATAACCCTAAAGAGAAATCATGAGAGCTAGAGTATGTAGGTCCTGGTGAGCTCCGCCAACTCCTCGATGGATGCTTTCCATAATTTTGTCTTCCTCAATCGGATCGATGTATATGCGGAGAAGATTATCCGAGACGGTCTCGCTTCGGTTTCTGAGCTTTTTTGCCTCTAAGAAATTATTTGGGCGATCCCCTCTTTTATGAACTTATTTATCGGCATTATCCAATCTGGAGTGGGGGTGGCGCCACTGACCTCGGAGACCTCAGGGTTGGAAATGGACGATGGGAATGATACCTCCACTTGGACCCATCTTCCATTCTCGCATGAGGATGTGCCTATCGAGCCAAGGTGTTCGCCTCGGTATTCTCCGTCCAAGACACTTACACCATTTCCCATATATCGAACCTCTCTAGGGTCAATGTGGCGTTGCTGCATAACGATAACGAGCCATGCATGGACCCCTCGGGTTGTAAACTTATAACTCATATTTTATTTGTTTAGTCACCAACTGAGAATCATTGTGTATTCTTACAGTTGTCACCCTCAGAACTTCCGCGAAACGAAGGTCTTCCCAGAAGGGTTTCATATTCTGTTGCGTTGTTGATTGTGGGTAGGGTGTTAAATAAAGCCCGGCTCGTTTAAGCTCGGGCTCGCGAGCCGAGCCCGAGCTCAATCCTCAAGCTCGTTAAGCACGATGGGCTCGGTAAGGAGTATTAAAAATTAAAAAAATATTTTATTTAGAGAAAATAGAGGTGTAGCATAGTTGTTAAAATGTTTGTTTAGTATTTAAAAGGTCAGGAGTTCGATCCCCTATGTCTTTAAATAAATTTTTTTTTAATTCGAGCCCGAGTCTGGATCTATAAGCAAAAGCTCGGCTCAGCTCGTTTGATACCCTAATTGTGGGAAATGAGAAATCAACAATGTGTTCACTATACCTGTGCCACTCTTGTCGGGATACGCAACACTATACCTACGCCACTCTTTTTCCTATCGCCTAATCTGTTAACATGAATGTTCCATACCACAATTTTATGCTTAAAAACTCTATGTTTGTAACTTATTGTTTCTGTTTGTAATTTCGAAAATTCAAAAACAAAACAAATACATAAGGCATAAAGTAACAAAAAATTCCTAACGCTAATCCTTTTTGAACTTCCAGATGTCCAAAGGGGGGATATTGACGGTACGCGCGCCATCACAGGTATGTAAACATATGAAGACGCCCAACTCTAATTAAGTTAACTGGTTAGACTTAGATGGTTTGATAATTGACAATTAAAATATTATTTATTGATATTGAATTGGTTCAATCCATTGATTTGAAAATGGGAAATTTGAATGGGTAATCAATTTGAATAGTTAATCAATTTATTTGAATGAATACAATTTGAATGAGTAATCAATATGAATGGGTAATCAATTAATTTAATGAGCAATCAATTTATTTGAATGAGTAATCAATTTGAATGGGTAATCAATTAATTTAATGAGTAATCAATTTGAATGGGTAATCAATTAATTTAATGAGCAATCAATTTATTTGAATGAGTAATCAATTTGAATGGGTAATCAATTAATTTAATGAGCAATCAATTTGAATGAATGAACTATAATTCTATATAATAAGTCAAAATAGACATGAACATTGAACCTAGGGTGTTAAGTAAAGCTCGGTTTGAGCTCGTGAGCCCAACGAGCCGCTCGTTAAACTGTTCAAGCTCGGCTCGTTAAGCTCGATAGGTTCGGTAAAAAGTATAAAAAATAAAAAATATATTATATTTAAAAAGAATAGAGATGTAACACAGATTGTAAAACGTTTGTTTAGCATGTGAGAGGTTACGGGTTCGATTCCTCATGTTTCCTAATTATTTCTTTTAACCTGCAGGTAATTAAGTTCGAGCCCAGACTCGTGGGCTCGAGCCTAGGTCCGAGCTTGTAGCCCGAGCCTAGCAATTTTTAAAACGAGCTGAGCCCGAGCTTGTAGCCCGAGCCTAGCAATTTTTAAAACGAGCTGAGCCCGAGCTCAGCCAAACCAGGCTCGACGAGTTCGAGCCCGGGCCTGGATAACTCTTTAACGAGCCGAGTCCGAGCCTGTCTCTATAAGCAAAAGCTCAGCTCGGCTTGTTTGACACCCTAATTGAACCATATGAATATACTATAGATATTCAATGAACCTTTAAAAATTAGCAAGGCATCTATATTCTAAATGTAATGACACTGATTGTGAGTTGTAAATGGAGTTTAAGAGTTAACAACTACATGTTCAATCACAATAATTAAGTCGCTCAACATTTACAAATCCGACATCGAAAAAAGATTTCTTTTTTGAATGAAAAAAACATAAAAAAGATTAACTCAATCGATCACAAGTCACAACTATTAACTTATTATTAAGGTTTTTAAATGTTCAAATTCGAATCTTGGTGTGTATTTTAATTAAATTTCCATTTTGTTATAATTAGAAATCTGAATGATTGGGTTGGTATTCTATAATACTGTCGATTTTAATTATGAAACCTGACGGACTTGATTGGTGGTCGATTTTCTCTGATACTGGTTTATCTGTGTACATACTAAAGTTCACAAATAATTAACACTGTCGAAAAGAATTAATACTGTTTATTCAATTCATCATGATAATTCATAATTAAGCTAGCTAAAGCTAACCAGCAACGATATGTGATGTATATATCAATATACTTTACATAAACACACCTATTAAACAAATAATTAACCTCAAACGATCTTTAATTACCATGACATTACTCAGTCAAACTAAGAAAGAAACTAAACCAGCCAAGAAGAAAGACCCAATTACCGGAATCATGGATGCGACGGGGGCTCCAGATTCCGGAACCGGTGCTGGCGCCTGAGCTTCTTGAGCAGATGCAATAGCGATAAGAGCTGCAACAAGGAAAACTGCAAAGATATTCTTCCCTGCTCGTCCCATTTTCGAAATCGGAGGTGATGAATAATGAGATATGGTGGATGAATGTCTCTCTATATATAGTGATTGGAAAATAAAAAAATATTAATAAAATGAAAACTCTTGGTGATTAACAGTGATTGCTCAACAATAAGTTGAATAAGTCGAAAGAGAACAGCGCATTGCTTAATTTGATTAGAAGAAAAGAAAACTTAGACATAAAGTAAGGAAATTGACTGGATCGAGTTGTCTTTTACAACAGCACAGCGCACAGTGGTGGTTGGATTGGATTGGATTGGTTTGGTTTGGAGAATGGCGAAGGATTTTGGATTTCATACGACAGCAGGTACCTCTCTTAATTAACCTTCATCTTATTATTAAATGAGCCAAAAAAAACTCCAGATAAATCTGAACCGTTGGATATAATATTCACGGTTAAAATAACTTAATTGACTGTTTCGTTTCGAAGAATATTAAAAAAATAAAATCAAAAATGGTTTGTGTTTAATTAACATGTAATTTAATTGTAAGAGATTTTCTTGTGCTCGTGCGTAGAAACTTTGTACCTTTTGAATTTTAGGCTTGGACGTTGTTTTCTAACCAAATCTTCTTCTAATGTAAAAAGATCGGTTGTACTTTTAGTTGTCTTTCAAGTTACGAAGATTCACCAAGGTTGTCAATAACAGACATGATTCTTAAAAAAACACGACATGACACAAATACGACACGTTGATAATTAAGAGTGAGAACGAGACGGGCAGATATTCTGCCTCGTTTTTCTTTTTTTTGCCCCGTGCCGTTATATTCCGGGGACGGGTTTCGGGGCAGGATGAAACCCGGGTGGGTCGCCCCGTTTTTTGAAATTAATTTAAATTATATTATATTAGATAGATGATTGTTAAAATTTAAAAATTAAGGTAAAAGTTTACCCATTTTAAATTTTAGATTTTTTTATTATTTTTTTTCATAATATATATTTTTTAATTTTTTAATTTCACGCAGGTCACCCCGTTCCGCGCGGTCATCAGGTCTGGGGTAGATCTCGGAACAGGGATGTAGGGTACCTGACCCGCCCCGTTTTCACCCCTATTGATAATAGTGTCGGGTAATTAGCGTCTAAAGTTTTGATACGATTAATAATAGTGTCGGTTTAGTGTAAAGCTGGGCGTGAGTCGGGTTAAACCCGAACCCGAATATGACGGGTCTGGGTTTGGGTGGATATTTTCGGCCATGAAATCCGATATGAAGAACCCGAATTTTTTTCACCCGATTCGCTTGAAACCCAAAAAATTTATAAATAAAATCTTAAAATATAAATAATCATATAAATAAAATTTTATTTAATATAAAACATTTTATAAAAAATTTAATATACACATTTAATAAATTTTCATTTTTTAAAAAAATCTAAATAATTATTATCATTTCCTTATATATCATCTTTGATTTTTTTCTTTCCTTTCATCTCCTCGCTGTCACCTATGTCGACGTTTGAGTTTTCGTTTAAAAATTATTTGATGTTTTATCTTATTTAATATTTCAAAAATTATTTGATCAAATTATTTAATTACCAGGGATTTTTATGCAAAAAAAATTTAAAAAATATCAAACCCGGTCCCGAACCTGACCAAACCCGACATTCAAATCGACTTCGAATTCAGGTTCTATAATTTTAAATGTTCACGAGTTTTGAACTGAACCCAAATCCGATTTCAAAACTCAGGTTTGGGTTCGGGTCACGATAAACCCGAGCCAAACCCGACATCCAAATCGAGTCTGGGTTCAGGTTCTATAATTTTAGATGGTCACGACAAACCCGAGCCAAACCCGACCCATGCCCATTTTTAGTTTAGTGTTTGCCTTTCAGAAAACGACACGATTACACGAAACGTAAGTTGACACGACAAATAATAATTGTAAAATAATATTTTTATGTAGAACCTTTTAAGTTATATATAAAATATTATACATTTTCGATAAAATAATAATTATGTAATACTGTAAAATAATTATTATTAATAAAATAATAGTGTCGTATTCGTGTTGTGTTGACACGAATTTCGTGTTGTGTTAGTCCTTAGTCGTATTGTATTGACACGAATTCGGTCGTAATCGTGTTAATTTTTTTGAAAACGGATTATATTCCATGAATATTTGAAGATTCAAAATTCGAGACTCACAATCCAAATTTAATTAAAAATATATAAAAAATTTAAAAGAGAGTAAGGGTGCATTTGGAAACGAGTCTAACTCGATACCGTCTCGAACCCCCCCCGCTGTCTGGGTCCAATATATCTCGATTCCATATCGAGGTGAGTCCTGATTCTTCTTATGACCTAATCACATTCCCTTAAAGACCCAGCCCATTATGATTTGAGATAGTTAAAAAATATAAATAAATTTTAAAAACTAAAATGTATGATTTGAAAAAATATATATATATATAAATCCTATTCTAAAATATTAAAATCAAAATCTTTAAAATAATTAAATCATTATCGATCTTTCTGATGATATATTATAATTAAAATAATAATATAAAGAATAAATATTACACTACACAATCCCTTTCTTCAATACAATATATTTCTTATAAATGGTATCACCCTTAGGATATTTACACAATAACACTCTTGGGCTAAAATCTTTCTGGATCGGGTCGAGCCTGATGGTGTCGGTCTGCTGGTTCTGGGGTAGACATGCAAACGAATCGAATATCATCATATTCAAATTCAGTTCGTTTAACTATCAAATTTATATTTTGCTATCCGAATTCGAAAAATATTCGAATAACATTTAAAAAAAAACATCTGATTTATTTAATTTTATTTAAAAAAATCCAGTATTAAATTTTTTTATATATAAAACTATAAAAGTAATACAGATAATTATAAA